GAAAGAGCAAAGTGGATAATCTGAAAAATAATTCGTTTCCTATTTAGCTTCATTTACTATGTTTATCTGTAATATTGATGAATTCGTTTTACTTGCATAGAGTTTAACAGCAGTTGTATATCATTTGAACATGAAATTCTTATTTCCGGTTTCAGAAATATCTGTTTATCACAACGGCTTTATTATTAAAGCTTCCTATTACAGTAAATCCCCTTTAACACGAATTTACTTAACATGAAAAAAAATCGGTCCCGACAGCCGATATACATGTAAGTTTTATCGATTAATACGAATTTCGGTTATCACGAATTACGAACTGTTTTTTAGACCATTGTATCATTAGACTTTTAACTTTTAAAGTGTTTTTGTCCCTATTGCATCTCTGCTAGATCTGCGTTCAGAAATATTCTGTCCCGTTTAATTAAAACATCACAGATTACACTGGTTTCTTTAAAACAGAGCCAGCGCGAATAACATTGCTCCATAATCACGATCATCGCATCAGCGTTGTGCTTCAATGAACAAGTGCAATTTTGTGTTCAGATGTGCTTTTTGATTCTTGAAAAATTAGCTAGTGCAGCTAATGTTAAACTTTAAATAATTCTTAATTAAAAATGTAGCGAACTCCGGTGTAAGTTTTGTGGAGTTTGTTAGTGCAGGCGTCTGAAATGCAAGAAATGTCATCAGAAGAAAGAAGAAAAATATCACTCCACCCACACGCCAGGAAGTGTTACACGCCTTGGACACTTTAAAATGTTTTCCTGTAACATCCAAATCGACCGCTAGTTAAACGGAGTACATGAGTCCGGTTGGCCGTGAAGTTAACCACGCGTTATCATTCCTGTCTGCAACAATGCAATGTACAGCAGTGTGTCATCAGAAAATGATCAGTCAGTACAATTTCTCAAGTTACAGTACAGCAATTATTGTAGTACTGTAGTGTTTTTTTATACGACCACATAATAATGTACTGTTGTAATTACGTTTGTACATATATATTGTAAATGGTTGATGTGCAGAAAAAACTATTCCAAAAATAAAATTTTAGTTTCCATTTAACATGAATTGTTTTAACCTCGAACTCTTAATTTTTCGGAATTGTTCCCTTGGGGTTTACTGTATAATGTTTTATGAGTTGCTCAGTGTGGTTCAACTCATAACTCGTGATTCAAGTCAGATGAATTTCATGTAGGAAAAAAGCTTTGAACATTTGAAGTATTATTATACTATATAGTTTAGGCATTTGTAAACGAAATATGAAATTGAATTTATTAATGTACAAGTTGCTTTTACCATATTAATTTTATCATGTGTATTGGTTTAGCTCGAAATTTCTTAGAAAGGAAGTTAATTTTTACCGACAGTTTGGTTACATATCATTCTTATATAAGAGTTGAAGCACGATATTGTTGAATGAATAAAAATTCTTTTTTACGAAACAAAGTTTAACATTAGTTAAATAATTCACGCAGTACTTATATTTGTATGCAAACTAAATCATAGATGAAATTCTTGTGAAGAAATGATGCTTATGGTTTTGAATTTGAAAAAGTCGTTGGACTATATAATGAAGAATTTATTGCGTCGAGAAAAAGAAATTAATATTCTTATTCCGCCATATCTCCTTTCCCATCCAAAAAATTAGTACTGACGAGAGCACAGAAAATATTGGCTTACTGACGATAAGAAAAAGAAAAGAGAAAAATCAGTTAATTTTATTTTCATACTTATTTAGAAGAAAACAGATGACAGAGGATTTTTTAAATTAGATTAGAAATTTTTGTTAAATAAATTGCAAGTTATAATAAAGGCATTGCCGCTTAATTACAGACGCCCAACGTCCACCTAAATCAGATTAATTTTTTTAATATATATTCTGTGACTATTTAGTGATGCCTAATTTTAATGTATTAAGACTTTATTTAAGGAAAAAAGTAGATTTTTTTAATATAAATATGAGCAAACATATAAAAGTATTGTCATCTGTTATTTAAACTGGATTTGATAATTAATGCACTGAAAGTATAAAAGTTAATTATCATATAGTTTAATGGGAATAATAGCTTAAATAATTCTATTTACAAAATTCACCTACAGTTTTATATTGCGAATGATAAAAGCGCGAATTTCTTACGATAAATTAAAAAAGATAATGGCTTATGCTATTACATTAATTGTAGATGTCATAGGCGCTCAACGCACGGGCACAAAGTCGCAAATACCTTTCATCTGCAGATGTGGTAACTCTTGGTAGGTTTCTGAGATGCTGAAACAGTAGTTAGTTACATGTTGCTTCCACAACCGACTTACGGTGAAACGGTCGACATTTATCTATCTTGTATGTCAGACTGTCGCTGACATACTTCTAATCGTCTTATTACTCTACAATGCACTTCTGTTGGAAAATGTCACCTTAAACTCATTTTTACATTTTAGCTATTTCGAAATTGTTTGAAATACCACTGCTCATTTGAAAGCGATTCCCTCCTAAACAGCTGGTTTTAAGCTATATTGTATTTACGTTATTGCGTAAAACGATAGCAGATTTACGTTATTGCGTAAAACGATCTTTTACATAATACGTCTCAATGCAGCTTACTTTTATTTGTAACATATCCAGATTTCAAGAATTTCGGACTACCATTTCTCCATTTATCGCGTTTTACCGTATAATTTGAACTACGTTTTATTCTGCTCTACCTGTTGTTAGAGCATTTTTCAGTCATTTCTGCCTGGACATTTTAAAGTCATTTCTCCATGCCTTCATCAGTATTTCACGTTCATTTTATCAATTCATTTGATACTTGTTTATGCGTCTTGAATTTTACTCACCATTTGTTTGGCGCATACTAACCCTCGAGGTTTTCTGTCATTTAAAAAAAATAAATAAATAAATAAATAAATAAAAAACCAACCATTTATCGCGATTTTTCAATTTGTCTCTAACTTTTGGAAACCTCTGTTGTTTAGGGAAATGCGTTTCTAGAAAATGTTTCGTATTGCATTTCGCGTTCGTAGGTATGAATAGGAGACTATTTATGATGTCCAATAACATTATTAATGTTTTCAGAACTGCTGCTTACTTTCAGTAGTGATTGATTTAGATTTGATTTCCGTGAAAATTTCAGTGTATTTGTGAGTATTGAATATACACTGCTCTGATTTCGCAGCTCTATGAATTTTCCTGGCGGCTTAAAAGGGTTATTTGCTTGTAATATCATTTTTTGAAAATTATATTGATCTTAACCATTTAGTCTAGCATACTTTCAAGCCATTAGTTTACGAGTTGGTAAAAAACTGCTGAAACTGCAGTTCGATTTGGCTTCAGATATTGAACGAGCTGGTTGCACGGTAGTATTGTCATTTTCCTCATGCATAACGTAAATACGAACCAATTTAACTTAATAATCATTCGCAGAAAAATTCCTTCTCTTATAAATGCACAAATAGATTCTTTTAGTTTAAAGAATTTCTATGTTTTAAGTCAGTCATTTTGATAAAGTTATAAAAATATTTTGCAGCATTTTACCTCAGGAATGAAGTGTTTATTTGCGCAGATTATGCATTATGGTATAGTTTACAGTACAGAATAATTAATGGTTATTAATTGTGAAGAACATACTATGGCCATCTGCCTTGAAATGAAGGCCTTCGTGAAAGCCTAGAGAAGAACTATTTTGTAAGAGAAACTGAACTGTATTCACATTATATATGGTATAAAACCTCGAAAATCTCATGCAACTAATCCGTTCCGTGTTTTGAAACCTCCTAGAATTGCGTAGTTTCAAAATGACTTTTAAAATTGTATGTACATTTTGTGAATTATTAGGAAAACCGGAAAATGTGATAAAAATCTTGTTACTTCAATTTCCTTTCCATATTTCTTTATTCCTGTCGCTGTTGTTTTCTGTGTCTGTGTGGTAATTTTTCTTCTGGAATAAATTAATATAGCGAAACCTCTGTAAGAGACCGCTCAATTTTCCAAAGGATTTGGTCTTTTGTGGATATGGTCATCATAGAAAAGCTTTGTTCATTCATTGCTTGTGTCTAATATTGAATACCTTGGTAAATTTCACTTTAATTTATCAATTTCCATCAGAATTCGTTCGGTAATCTTTTGATCATAGCTGTGTTGCTAAGGAAATTATAGAACCGTTTTATTGACTATTATTATTTTCCAAAATTCATTACCGTTTTATTGATTAAAAGCATACTTGTTTAACATGCAGGAATGCTAAAAATACGCATGTGAAAATATATGGAAATTTATTCGTTCCTTCGAAATATATATGTCGTTAGCATTCTGTACTCATCTAGTGATCTTATAAAATGTGAGGGACATTTTAGTCATGTTCCTGACAGTCAAACAATAGTCAACAATAAGATTTAGTTCAAGGTTTCCAACTATGATAAAACGTGACTGTGCAGGACCATAATATAACGGGAAGTCCGATCGTTGTATGGAAAGCCCGTTTCAGGAATTTCGTCGTTATCTGTTCTGCTGAAGCTGAACATCTTATTTTGAATTTTTTTTTTTTTTTTTTTTATTGTTGTCAGCAACTGTAATATCTTGCTTGGTTAAAATCATTGATTACCAGAGGGTTCAACAATATGTTAATGATATACTGGTTATATGAACGGCAATATTTTTTTATTGATCGTATTGGGTTGTTATTAGCAAAAGATTCCTGTATTGAAGATTCTCTACTGAGCTTCTCAAGTCTCAGTGCCTATGCGTTATTATCTATTATGTTCTGTGTAATCTAATAAAAGTCAAATTTATGTTTATATATGCATGTACATATTTGTACGATGAATTACCAAAAAATATACTGGTACCTGGGAACATATGATTAGAAATACAGAAATGCTATTATGAAAATTCTTAACGGAATAAAGAAAATTCTTCAGTAAGTGCAAAGTGTCCTAAATTAGCGTCATGCTGTTATTACGGTCAATCTTATTTTTCTTCTACTCAAAACTGTTTTCATCTTTTGCAGCGACATCTGGAACTCTCACCCACCTCTTTCCTGAGCAGAATAGAATGTATCAAATGAACAAACTTTTTATAGGCAAACATCTCAGTTTCCTGCAAGTGTGTCGCAGTTTATGAAAATGGTAAAGCTATTTGGGTGTTTTGGTGAACTTTTTTTTCTAAGGCAAAACAAATTAATCATTCTGTCTCTGAGGATGCAACAACTTAGAATTAAAATAGATGAGAAACACGCCGAAGTGAAACACAAAATTAGCGAAGCATCAACCCTGTGTTTAGCATAGATTTAGTTAATAACTCTGTCGATTTCGAGGGCAAACAAGTATTGGTCCTTCTTCATCAGGAGCAAAGAAATCTGCAAGAGTGGAAAGTAGCAGGCGCAACTATCGTACTTTACTCTTATAATTCTTTAAAATAATCGTATGAATATGCAACAACTTAGAATTCTTTAAAATAACCATATCAGGGATTTTTTTGCGAGTCTCTGCACATATATATGTATGTATGAATATAATATAAATGGACATATACATCAGCGATTACAGAAAAATATGGTACACTCTGCAGACTTAATAATACTAGTTTGCTACTGTTGACTGCAAATTGTGGAGTGCTACACTTTGTTTGATGATGACAACTACAATACTATACTTGTGTGGAATGGCGCTGAGTTTTGTGTTCAAATAAACTTAGAACCTATTATCTGCTATACTAGTTTGGTGTGAATATATATGTGTGGCATGGGCTATGGTTTAATCATTTTAAGTTGTTCTGTTCAAGTTCTGTGTGCCTTAATGCCCTGGAGAAGTCGTTAAACGCTGCTTTCTGTCAAGAAATGTTAATTGATAACTGATAGCTTTTCATAATCTCCGCACCTCCTAGAAGGGCTGATTTTATTTCAGTAGCCTTATTGCTTACCCATATTTGGTGTTAAAAAACAGTCGTATGCATTCCAGGCTATCCATGATTCATAGATTAAATCCCAAACGAACCCTGTAAGGAATTATTGAACAAAATATCAGATCCATGTGGGACGACTGATACGAAAATAAGAATCTTCTTTTTGGGGGTTATTTTTAGCGGCTTCAGTTTCAAGAATGATCAGTTAAAAAGAATTTTAATAGCAGATTATTATGTTAAATAATGGGATGGTATCTGACAATATGGAATACCGTCTTAATGTCTAGTTTTAATATTATTTTAAGTTGATGATTTCTGCAATAAAAATAATTAACATCGTATTTTTTGTCTACTTTTACAAAACTGATCAAAGTGTGCAACCTGTATATAATATCCAACATCCTTGAAACTGGGCATATATATCTTTTACATCCCTGAGACTAGAGGAGTAAGCAAAGTCTGCAAAAATTATTTTATTTTGAATTATTATTTCATATTTTCCCTTACAAAATAAAGCACCCTACGGTATGCCTTGACTATTTAGAAAGCAATAATTACATCTGACGTTACAAAAGGCATTAACTTCAAGTAATTTGAGAGAGTACTAACACTGTACAGGATTTGAATGATACTATCTGTCATTGGCGAAGCTCAGTTCGACAAGTTGTTTGTTATGGCTAATTAGAGAAACCGAAATTAAGCCGAAAGATTAAGTGAACGTGCTCAGTTTGTTATAACAAACTGACTTTGTTTATCGCTCTGCAACCTATTTGTCTGCTGCCGTAAAACCACTTGTTCCTTTTTGAAAGCCCAAGGGGCCATCGCAAATGCATAAATGTTTGTTTATATTGTTGGTATTTCTGCTGGTAATTTATTTTGGGGTGTAACTCTTCATAATAATTTTATCGTTGGTGATATAATTGCTAATTACATTGCAATGCTATTGATTATTACTGAGGTTATAGCTTTTTAATAAACATGTTAGATCCAAATATGGCAGTACTTACATATCCATAATATGAAATCTAAACTCATTTAAATCCGAGATTGACATCTAGACCGAAGTTGGTATTATAATAAGCCTGGATTGCTGTTCATTCGGCATCCTTTTATCACTCGGTGAAGTCTGCTGTAGGGTTATGTTAGATTGACATTTATGCCATAAATCGAGAACCCTAAAACAAGAGTTACTGAGATGCCGTTAGGAGGTTTTTCTAATGTTTTGGTCAATTAGTATGTGTATGGATTATTTAATGAGTTTTTTTTTAACCCTTCTTCAAGATCTGAAGTTTGCAGTTTTGCTTACTTTTACATCGTTTACTTTAAGAATAAATATTGCGACAAACTGAAAAAAAGCATGCAGGTGTTATTTAAAAAGGACTTTGCGTTTTCTAAGAATAAATAAGTCAGGCCTTTATATTAACAGTTTTCTTTTTTAATGAACGTTATTTGAGCTTTTTTTTTTTTTTTTTAATATCAAGTTCATCAAACTCCTTTATAAATAACACCTTGACTGATAATTTTTTTCTAATTATCGGTCACGTTATAACCAGAGCTGTGGAGTCGGAATCGGAGTCCGGCAAATTTTAGGGTAAAAGGAGTCGGAGCTGGAGTCGCTAAAAACAGGTCGACTCCGACTCCAGTTTTCGTTGGACAGTTTGAATTCGAAATGAAATTAAAATGAATTGAAAACGACTAATGACAGGCTGAGTTATTATTTTTATTTATGAATTGTATACATTAATAAATAGTTATTTTTCTATTTTATTGACCTATTAATAAATAAATATAAGGGAGGAGGATGGATGTGATATCTGCCACTAGTGATTAAACTGATTCATTTAGTTACAAATCTCGCTAGTAAATTTAGGTAAGCAGCAAGAACTCCTAAAATTGATGCCATTCTTAGGAAGCGAGCAGGAAAAGGAGCAATTATTGATCAAGCAATGCGATAAGGAAGTGCATATTTGATGATAAAGAGGTTTTTAGAATTAAGCACTTTTTTAGGAGATGTAGATAACCCTGTTTTATTAACAGAAAGACTGTGGAATAATGATCTTGCAGAATTGGAAACTCTTCATTCTATACCATATATAGACACACACACACAAAAAAAAAAAAAAAAAAAAAAAAAAAAAAAACCTGCAATGTGAAGAATTGATAGGAGGCGAGAATGGGATGTTTGTTCTTTCTGAAATGGAGGGCTTATTGCAGAAGGAATCATTTCTTCAAGAAAGAAAAAAGAAACTAGTTTGCTAGACAATGAGATCTTGCTGGGTTCAATATATGGAGATCCAAAACACCAAATTTTCTTGGATGATGAACAAATTAAAAAGGCAAAGAAAGTCATCTATGAACTTTCATCAAGAATGAAATTATTCTCAGAACAACTGGAGAATAATCAGGACAGCCAAACTGCAGACATTGCAAATTGAGTGTCTATCATCCTTTTCCAGTGATGAATTAGATTTTGAGAAATATTTTTGGATAATATTGAAAAGGCTAAGGCAAAGCGAATGAAAATAAAAAAACAAGTGCCTTTAAATATAAAATGAAAAAATACAAACAAGATTTCTACACCGCCTTTGAAGAAATAGAGAAATATGATTCCGCTTGCAAGACACCTCTTTTAGGACTTCTAAAAATCTATCCTGAAAAGTTAAATAAGTAGCCCTAACAGTAACAGCTCTTCCTCCTCCTCAAGTTAATGTGGAAAGCCTCTTATCGGCTCTGAAGTTTATCAAATCGGATCTATGCCCCTCCAACAAAGAAAATCTTGCCGAAGCTATACTGTTTCTTAGAAATAACTAATGCCAGTTTTTCCATTTCATAATAAATGCTAATTAATATAAATAATTTGCTATGCCATCAATTTTTTTCTGTAGCATCTATTACTTCTTTTATATTAAAAAAATAAGCTGTAACCCATGTTTACATATATATACAGTTTTCTTTGATTTGTTTTTACAAAGTTTGCATTATTTTTCTTTTTTATAATCTTCTATGTTTATTTCAACTTTACTTTGAATTCGATTTCATGATGACAATTTCCAATGTTTAATTTCTACAAATAATATAGTACTCAAATACATAAAGATGATAGTGTCGGGGACGGTACTCGAGTTTTACAGGATTTCTTTACAGTAATTGATTTTTACTCCAAATTGAATTGACTAAAATGCTTCATGAGAATAAGTTCTTTGAGTAGCAACTATTCGCGGAAATATTTGGCCTGACTAGAATTGCCGGTTTGGCTTTAACTTATAACTCGAGTAAAGACGAAACACTTTCATATTTACGTATTTTTATCAATTATTGTTCATTGAACGGGAGTTGGTTTGTTCCCCTTGAAAAGTCAACTAATTTCCGATCAATGACAATAATTACATGTTTTAATTTTTCCTTTTACAATTGAAATATTATTCTTCGTGATGATTTAACTCCAGTCCCCGTTAAAACATTATTTACATTTTGCTTTCAAATTACTTCAAAAAACATCTTTCAAAATATAACTTACCAGTATGGATGCACACTTTTAAAATAATTCTACTTTAATTAAACTTAGGAGATAATATAATCAATTAATCAATACTGTTTAGAAAATAAATTATTATTATATGATTACATATATATACATATATGAGGGAGTCGGTCATTTTCCCTACCGACTCCACAGCCCTGGTTAAAGTCTGTAAATTAAAATCTGGCTTTAAAGTAACTCTCATTAAAGTCCGTAAAACACGAAAATTACGATTTGTTAGAATCGCTTTGGTATATTTCGAAGATTATATTATGTAGCAGCTTTAGTTTCCAGTTTTTGCATAAATACACACTGCACAAAAACTTTTACTTACGTTCATAAGAATGTAAGTAAAAATTTATAACTGAGCTTCAAGTAACTTTTGCTTGGTTTTGTTTGTGTCATCCAGAGTTGAACATAACCTGAATTGCATATAACGCCCGAATATAAAATGACCTAACGCACTCGTTTACTTTTCACATCTAATCTGATACATGTTTTAAAAAATGCGTAGTACATCATGAGATCACACTTTCTTTTAATAATTGTAAATAACTGAATCAGAATTAATATGCAAGTATATGTTCCTCCTTTAAAATTCATGCTTTCGTTTTTACAGGCGGTTGATGTATTTTGGACGTATGAATGCTTATGAAATCCTTTTAAACTTACGAGTTAATTAATGAGATTACTTGATATTTATTT